ATTAACCTATTATTAATGCTTATAGATTAAGTCTTAATAAGCATTATTTATGATACTCTATTTAAATGTTGGTCATTGTAAATTTATTCAGAATTTAATATAAATTAACGTTTTAATGTATAAAATCTAACCTAAATCAAGTGTTTATATAGCACTAAGAACTTACTTTAATCTAAACGTTTAAAAATAAACACTTAATCTGGTATTATTGAATCTTATTTTTTTAACCTTTCAAATTCAACTCAACTTCTACGTCTATAGAAGTTTTGACATTGGAAAATATTATGTGGCCTGGACTGGGCTGTACCTGGGTAATCAACAAAACAGTAACTTAATAATATGTTCTTGTCCATTTTCACAAATAAAATTAATTAAATAATTTGTGTTATTGTTTTAATACAATTTAAATTAGACTAGCCTTACAGTTTTGTAACAGCAAACGCATTTTTCTGTTGGGAACTAATTTATAGTAATTTATAAGCGTAACTCGTAAGTGGTATGCGGTGGTCTTTCTTAAATTACTTTTTAATTTACTAGCGGGCATATGGCGTGTTAATAAGTGGAGGCTGTGGAGTGTGGAATCAAACACACCGCAGTAGGCAACATTTTTACATTCAACTGGCGGAATCGCTATCGCCTTAAAAAATCTGAAATAAAATTTCAGTTGATATATCGTTAAAAAGTCTCGATATATCGATATATCGATAACAGGTTGACTTCGATAATTTGTCATCGATAAAATTGAAAGATATATCGGATTTTCGATATACCGTTGTCGAGACGAATTTTGCCATCCCTAATTGACAGTCGTGACCAAAATATCAAATACTAATAATTAATAATACTTTGTATAGCCGGGTTCCCACGGCGCGGGGCTCGTGGCTCGGCGCGTGGCTTGGTATTGCGCGGTACAGTTCACGAGCCGTGGGATCGGTGTTGCGCGGCGCGGCTCGTATATGATCGGCGCGGCTCGTGTCTATCCGAAAATTGTCGGTATTTGGTACCCGAGTCAAAGGAAACCATTCGCGCTCGTTGCTCGGCTCGTGGAGTCGGTTCAACGCGTTCCAACGGCTCGTGTGTATTTTCATTTTTATTTTACTTTTTTTCCGAATATTTTATTTATTTATTTTCAAAAAACATGGAGTGGTCAAATGAATTGATCTTGGAATTTCTTGATCTATATGAACAAGAGCCTTGCATCTGGAACCCGAAACACTCGCTACACAAAGTTCGCAATTCCGTGCATGATTCGTGGAAAAATATTTCTCAAAATCTCAGTGTACAATATTCTATCAGTGACCTAAAGAAGAAGAAGGATTCATTGATGGCCACATTCAGGAAACTAAATAACAAAGTTAAAGCTAGTAAAAAAACTGGTTCGGGTTTGGATGACATCTACAAACCTGACTGGTTCGCATATGAATCAATGGCCAAGTTTCTGCATAGCGTGAATCAACCTAATACCACCAAAAGTTCAGAGGTAAATGTATTCATATAAAATAAATAATAATAAATATACTTAATAATAATATATACACATATTTATTGAATAATATTCTTATCATTATATTATATTAATCAACAATAACTAAATATACTAGACTTTCTTACATAAATTATATTAATACAAATTACTCAAATATATTTTACTTTAAAAATTGTTTTGCCACGAAACAGCACCATTCGTCATAAAATAGTCTGTAAATAATTCTCTTACTTCTTTTGCATCGCTGGGTGCCCTACGGGGTATTCTACGAATGGGTAGGAACGAGGCTTCGTTATTGTTGTTCTGACGCCATGACCCTGGAATAATATCACCTTCTTTTTCCGAGTCAAATGTTCCTTGTGGACAATAATTGGAAGACGAAGTCTTACTTTTTCTTAGAAAATTGTGCAACAATGCACACGCCATCGTTATATTTGTCACTTTTTCCGGATTGAGTAAAATTGGACGTCTGAATACTCTAAAAACTGATGACATTATTCCAAAGGCATTCTCTACCACTCTCCGTGCCCTAGATAATCGATAATTAAATACTCTTTTTTCGTTGCCTTTGTCATAAACACCAGAATACGGTTTCATCATATGCTTATTAAGAGCGAATGCGCTATCCACTACGAAAACATATGGTGACATATTGGTCTTGGCAGGAAGCGGTTCATCTTCTGGAAGCATAAGCTGTTCATTTTCAAATTTTTTCCATAAATCTGTGTTTCGATATACACCACTATCACTTATTCTTCCCTGACACCCAACATCGACGAAAATAAAATTATAATTAGCGTCTACTAATGCCATAAGAACGATACTGAACGTCTCTTTGTAATTAAAGTATTCTGTACCACTTTTATTTGGACATTGTATTACTATATGCTTCCCGTCAATTGCACCCAAGCAATGGGGAAAATTCCATTTGTCGTTAAACTCTTCGGAAATTTGGAGCCACTGTTCGGAATTTTGTGGGAGCTGAAAAAATTAATTTTATATTTATAGCCTTAGGTATTGAAAACAACAAAATATCATCTATTGTTCGATTAAAAACTTCTCTTATTTGTCTTTTGAACCTTGGACCATTGGTTTCTAGGTACAATACGATTCTGCCACGTCCTTATCGAACGTACTGAATGACAAAAAAAAATATAGGCAGGCAAGTGGTGGAGTCAGTAAGATTGTCATTGTATACCCCAAAAAAGGTCATAGCATAAGCATATTATGTAATGTAAATTGCGGTCTGGGTATACATACGTAAAATATACGTATTTTATTGTTTTCTATGGTGATAAACAGTGTTGGGAATAGATAACTAAAAAAGGTGGGTAAGTGGATGTCGCTCTGCTGTACTGTAGGTTACAAGTGGGTCATGGTATAATGGATGGTATTAAATTTGAATTCAATGATATAATATTATTGTATAAGAAAAACGATTCTGAGTGGAGACGGTATCACGGTCAATCTAGGTATAAGACATATATACTTATCGATGGTATTAAAAAAAAATTGACTTAAAATAGATACCTATAATAAATTCCAAATTAATCATATCATATATCCCCGAATAATATTTTTAAATTACAACGAAAAACCAAGATCGTTAATATTTATTTTAATATGTAATTTCGTCCAAATTTGAATTTAAAATGTCTATAAAAAATAACTGTGTTCATATAGTTTTTAGATTTTTTGGTTACAGTATGAACTATTTACGAGAACCTTTGTATTGAATTTGCAATCCTTAGCTATAAAAACTGAACATTTTATAATTTATTAATTACAATGATTGATAATTTTCGAGATTTTGATAAATTTTGTCAAAATTTGATCTATAATGCTTATAAAAAAAAACTGTGCCTATGTATTTTTAATATTTTTCAACTTATATTGTAACAATATATCAGGATCTTGTCTAGATAAGGTAAGATAATTTTACCAAAATTATATCTAGATAAAAATGTAGATAAATCCATTTTTTTTCAAAATATTTCATATATTCTGTGTTATTTTCTATTTACTCCAACTAATTATTGATGATTAAAAACAATTATTGCGTAGGTACCTACCATAAATCTAAGAATATTTTGGAATTTAGAAAATAAGAATTATCGTTATATAGTTATATACGTATACCAATATCACTATTAAAAAGTATATAGTTAAGGAAACAACTCTTTAATTTATCTTTTTTACACACCTAAAATATTCCATACATCTCCATAGAAATTAATGAAAAAAAAAAATTTTAACTTTTTTTTAATTATTTATAAGCATAAAAATTTTTTTAATTTTTAAATTGTAATTTCAACTTTTTACAAAAAAAAATGTTTCGCTTGATCATAAGACTTGAAAATTGAGACAAGATTCCAAATAAATTGTTCTTATAGCTGTAAAAGTTATTAAAAATAGATTTTACAATTTTTTATTATAAGCATTTGAAATTTAAATTGATCATATAATTATGATAATTCATTATTAGGCAATACAAAATGAAACAATAAACAATGAAAGCGAGAGCAGTGGTACTTTCATCGACGAGGAAGAATGTACTGAAGTTGAAACCGACAAACAACCAAATACACCAAATGAAAATTTTAAAACTCCTACGGTACATTTTCCCCATGATATTTCTAAAAAAAGAAAATTTGAAAAAATCAAAGATATGGAAAAACGATTGGACGAAGCTTATAATCATTTGAAAAAGGCATCAGAGAAACCCAAAAAAGACAAATGTTCACTGTTTTGTGAGTTACTCGAGAAAAAGTTTAGAGACCTGGATGAGTATACTCAAGAATTTGCTATGCTAGAAATAGATAAGTTTATTTATGGACTTAAGCAACAGAAATATGCATTTCAATTTAACAACACCCAATTCATAGCACCAAGTAGTACCATTTACAACCCGCAATCATCTGCATTCATGACATCAACTTTTCATCCTCAATCACCAAAAACACATACATATACGACACCGACACCATCACTACTTTCTCAGCAATCAAATTTATACACATCACCTTGCACGAGTTCTCCATCATTATCTGAAGATACGAGTATGTCACCTAACCTAGCAGATTTTCAACAAGCTCATAATTATACACCTCACATGTCACCTGCAAGTTCATCAAACTCACAATCATACACAATCCTCCAAAGTCAAACCAACGAAAATCAAGAGGAATTAGATTTAAATACGTTTGGCGTATAAATTAATATGATAGTATTTATTGTTATTGTAATATTTAAAAACCAGTTTATTGTTCTAGCTTAGTTTTTTAACGAGAAGTTAATTTGTTTTCCACTAAAAAGTTTTTATTTTAAAAAAGTTTTTCATAGTATTATTTTTGTTTATGAGGAATTGACCTGTTATTTTTATTTTCTGTTTTATTTTTCAAATATTAAGTAACTATATTGTCATGGTATAATCATTTTTTACTAAAAAGTCATTTATATATTTCTAGTTAATGATCCATTTTAATTCATTTTAATTTAATAAAATTTGTTTTAATCATTTATGATTACATACCTTTATTTCATCTTTCAATTCTAGGATCAAAGCCTTGCACACATCAGCTACACATCTTGAAACAGTTTGTGGTGAAAACTTAAACAGGTATGACAAACTTTTGAAACTGTCACCGCTAGCCAAAAAACGAAGTGTCACAGCTAATCTTTCTTTGATTGGGATACATTCTCGCATGTTTGTGTCGTTCTTAGAAATGTATGGGCCTATTTTCGTTAAAATATGCTCGAAGTCTACGGAACTCATCCTACAAAAGTTTTCAAATTTTCTTGACGGATCTACATTTAAATCGCACAGCATATTTGTTGCATTGTACCTAAAAAAAAATACACACATATTTTAAAGTATAATAATAAATAAATATATGGTTAATTGGAAAGCAAAAAATTTTAAATAATTCTATACCTTTTTCGACTTTTATAAAATGTATCCATCCAGTATCTTCTTTTTTTTGGAGTGCTTGCTTCATCTTCATTATCAGATGAGTAATATTTTAAAAACTCACTGCAAACGATAATATAATATGCTGCTGCATTGGCAATTTCTTCATGGTCATCCATATTTAGTAAAAAAAATATAGATAAAAAGCAGGTCTAGCGTCGACGAAAGACAGACTCGGAATGGATCGGAATGGGATGCCGAGTGGCTAGAGACTTGCCGAGCCACAGGCCGTGGGATCACGTTGGCGTGTAGGCTCGGCTCGTCTAGGGTTAGTAGCGCCGCACCACGCCGCGCCACGCGCAACGAGCCGCGCGCCACGAGCCACGCGCCGTGGGAACCCGGCT